CCCAGTGAGTACTTCCTTCAGTCTGTATGCACACCATTGGATGGTTTAGTTGTGGAAAGCTGGAAAATGCTAAGACTCAGCTGTTGGGCAAGTTGACAGTCTTTACCTTCTTGGATGATGGGGATCTGTCTGTAAAAAAAAAAAAAAAAAAAAAAAAAGGAAAAGAGTCTCAAGCTTTCTCAAAAGGTTAACAAGCTATATGAGGTAGGAATTTTCTTGTAGTGCTGGGAGTGGTTCTTCCAATGTTACTGGAAACAGTCTAAGATACTGAGGAAGGGCATGGTACTTAAGTAAAATTGGTTTGTATCTTCACAGGATAATTAATGCAGTTTTGATCTTAACGCTAATTCTGTTTTCTTTTGATTTGTTAAATTTTACAGGAAGGAAAAATTAATGAAGGTGGTACTTCTAGCAAATAATCATATAATAGGCAAGGAGAGGAAAAGGGTGCTTGTTTTAGTGTATTATTCATACACAGGGAATAATACCTAGCTGTAAGTGCTTCAGAGTAGGAGTCATAGGTGAAGGGAGATTCTGCAGGAGGGTTCTGCAGATGATGTGGAGAAGGCTGGACTGGAAGCTGTTATTTTATAAGGAAGAGAAATCCAGAAATAATTCTCATGTTTGTCTTCTGTTATTGAGATCACAGACCCAAACTTTCTTTGTTTTGGTCTCTGCTGTAGACCAGTTCCTTGAAGATTTATCTGAGTGGAAGAGAGGGCATTTGAACAAGAAAGATCCAGAAAACTAATCTGAATCTTTAGCTTAATTGATGCTAAACTGATGAGTGGCTGTGTTGTTGCATGGCTAAACCTGCCTTTTTTGGAAATGCAAAGAGTACAAAATGCTGGCAGGAGCCCTATAAGGTTTTAAGCTGTTGCTACAAGCTGTTACCTAGATGAGCTGGCAGAAGAATGTTTGAACCTGCAAATGACTTTGGCAGGGCCCAGTCTCTAACCATAGATTCCTAGCTGTGAAATCTGTCCAGTTATTCTGCTAATAATTTGAGGGATGGGGAATCATAAGGTTTCCAGGCACCAGATGTCTGCCTGCCTTTGCTGTGGGATTTTTAGGCTTTATCTCTATACTATAATTTCTTTTTTCCTGGAAGTGAATGCAGTTTTTTTCAGAAGCAGATATTAAGACTTCATTAATACGAATTTTTCTACTTTTTAGCTTTCATTACATAAGCTCATTTTAGAACTAGGGTTTTTGTTGTGTTGCTTTTGAAAATCATCTTGTTTTTTAGTTGGCTGTGGATCATACCCAAGCTCCTATGATTGCCATACAATCCATTTTGCTCATACAGATGAAAATCAAAATGCCTTACCAGGTGATTCATCATTTCCAAGCCTAACTTGTGGGTTATGCCTAGTAACAAAGATAACTGCTAAAATATAGGAAGCTGCCATTAAAAGTTTCAGATAACCAGTCATGAAATACAATGTTTGGAGTATCACTCACTTTCAGAAGTAATGTTTTGACAAGAACAGCTTCTCCTTCCCCATTTGGCTCTGTGTAAGCTAATAAGGTTTTTTTTGGGATGTGAGGCTAAAGTTCCCAATTCTATTTTTGCTTTTTGCTTATAAGGATGAATTCTATTTTGGTAGACAGATTATGCTATGAAATATCTGCTTGGATCCCAGCAATCCACTTCGTGTATCACCACTTGAAGTAATGTCACCTTCAGCAGTATCCTTGTTTTTCCATTGCTCTTTATCTCATGTTGTTGTTTTGCACAGAGGAAGCTCCAGCTGCCCTTTACTGTAGCATGTTTTGAACCTTGTAAATATTATGTGTTAAAGAATTCTACTTCAGTTAAAGTAATTATCAGAAACAACAGCACAAAAAGTCCAGCCAAATCTATTCTCATTAAATTCATCGAGGCATTAGGAGGTCTCATCATTCTGACTTCATTTTTATTCACAGATTAGAAGAAGGAAAACAAGCGTCTTGGTGTTTTCTCAAGTTTAAATGAAGTGATTCTGATGCAGGAATATGTCTAAATATCTTAGATGAAAACAACAACAATTAAGGCAGAAATATCACTAACAAAAACATTGATTTTTTTTGGGGACAAATACCTATTTTGTCCTTAGTAAAAATTGCCAAATATTTTTTTTCTCTGCCATATGTTTAAATCATCTGTTTCCTTTGAGTTCTATGGGCAGTTAGGTTGTTCCATTTTTTAAAGGTGTAATGGTTTTATTGTTTAGTGCTATTTTAATCTGCTTTCATAACTGACAGCATATTTAAGGGTTATCAGAAACTACTGAAGTGCCATTTAAGTTTTCAGAAGACTTATTTTGAGAAGAAAAATGTATTTAATTCTGAACATATTTTTGGTAAACCCATTTTCTGTTCTTAAAATCCATATTATGCCTGGGGTTGTTTATTTTTAAGAACATGGTAACATACGAACTCAACAATGTGGATGGAAGGAGTGCTGGTAAGAAAATGCAAATATAGTATAATTGGTTTCAGAGCTAGATAGTTTTAATAAAAAGTTTCACACTCATTTGCTGTTATAAGATCAGTTACCTCACAGTCAAAGTCTTTTGGGCTTTTTAGTTGAGTTTGTAAAGCTCCTTTAATACAGAGATTAGCAGTTTCTTATTTCTTTCATTCCATTTATTGGTTTGTAAACCTGAAGGCTGTGAATTTTATGAAAGAAAATCCTTTAATTTTGTGTATGCCTATTGGTATGTGGTGGTTGCCATGGTACATGTTTGGAGCAAAACTTTTTCAACAGTGAGTGGAGTATGATAATTTTTAGCATCATTTTTCTGATAAAATTATTCAGAAGTCTGAAAAATTTCAAGTACTTACTGAATTTAGCTTGACTGGATGTTCTAAAGGTCTTAGATGTAAAGTTCTGACATAAAGGTCTAAATTTCACAATATGGTCTCAGCATTTCTGCAGGGCTGCACTTCAGATGCACAAACTGATTTGTGTGGTGGAGCTTTGTTGAGAGTCCACGACTCCCTCTGAGTTGCAAACCATTGTCTGAGAGCAGCTGCTTTAATTTCTCACTATTCATTTTAGTGCCTTCTTCCCAATTGTTTTGCACAATGCTGTATTGTGAATAAAGTTTTATAAATGTCTATCAAATAGCTGAGTGATTCAGGAATTATTAAAAACCTTGCATCAGTTCCTCATTTCTGCCTCCTTTCCTAACAGTCCCTGCTGTAGAGTTCCAGCTTATTCAATGAGCAGGATCATTGATGGTGGCCTTGAAGATGTAGGTTGTCCAAAATGTCCCTTGAAAATAAAGATAGATTTTGAACTCAGTTAGGGACCTTATACAGAGTTTATGAAGAATGAAAGATCTCCCCTAGGCATTCAGCAGCCTGGATTTCCAAGAGATGCTGCAGAATCAGTTGCCAGATAAGATTTTTAAGTTCCAAGACTCCATGCTCACGTGTGACACAGGGTCAGAGAGCCTTAAGACTGTTGTTTGTGAGTTAAACTTCATGGGTACATGTATTAGTAAATATTTTTTCTTTCTGAAATTTGAGCTGTGGACTATTCCTTGCTAGAGCTGGCTTTGGTGCTTTTCCACTGAGGAAATGCCACTTTGAGGATGGAATCCTTGTCAGCCCAGTGATGTCATGGTTCTTGCCTGAGAATGTCTTATGAGATCGATGGATTGACTGTATCTGTCACTTGGTTTTACTTGGGGACTTTCTGAGGTGATGATGTGGCTAAATGGCAGGACATGTGGGACTGTGTGCTGTCTGACTGTTAGTGTTACTTGGAAACCAGCTTAGAAAATTTGTTAGGCTGTATTCTGCTATTAAAGCAGCAAAGTTAAATGATCAATTGAGATATGAATTAGAAATACCATAATTTTAAATGAAAATAAGTTTTTCTTATGCAGGTCTGATTATCTTTCAATGAAGAAAATGTTATCTAAACCCTCTTCTTGAGTCCAACTCTTGAAACTATTCATAGCTTGCCAGCTTTCTGAAGCTGAAATTCTGCATGTAAATTATTCTTCACTAACAGACTCATAAAGAGTTTTTTACTAAATCAATACTTCTGATATTTTCTGTATGCTCAGAAAACACTGAAAATATAAACATGTAGATCCCCTTCACCTCTCTCTTTATTTTTCTTTGATGGCAACTATTTTGACTTATTCATATTGTGACTATCTGTTCTGAGTAAGTATACTAGTTGTGAGAAGATGTATAAAACACACAATTTTTCACCAGACTTTAATAGTGGAAAAGCACTAAAAGTACTACTCTGGGCAGGGAGAAGTTCAAGTAAATACTGTGGTCAGGAATTTAAATTTTTTGCCTATTATCCCATAGCTTTCTGTATTTTTTTTAAATATGATACTTTTAAAGTTGTAGAGGTTTCTCTGTTAGCCAGAAATTTTTGTGGGTTTTTTTCTTCATTGAATCTTAAATTCAGCCTCATGCCATTGCTACCAAAGGTATAGAATAAATATAGTTAATTTCTGCTCCCTCCGCTGGCCTTCGAGCTGCGCGGAATAAATCTGTCCAGTACCTCCAAAGCACCCACACCTGCAACTGCTCTGTGGAAATTGGGTCTTTTGGGGACTAAGGAGAACACTTTATCTCCAATATCCAGACCTGAGTAATGGCATTTCTGAAATAAACTCTCAATAAAAATGGAAGCTTTTAGAAAGGAAACAAGAGTGATATTTTGTGGTAACTTTGGAGTACGTTCAGGTGCAGCCAATGTGCAATCTGTCAGTGTGATAGAAGGAGAGCTGTACATTTCACACCAGTAGCAGACACTGTTCAAAAGTGGTTTCGTTTTTTGCTTGGGCTTCCTGATAATCCTCTTTGTAGTACAGTGCAGAAAAACAGAACTGAAATGATCATATTGTTCAAAAATAATTGAAATAATACAAGTTTGCTTGAAACTAAGGTGCAAATCTGCTATGCCTGGCAACATTGTCTTGATAGCAATCACTTAAGAACTATTACGTATTCTTTTGTTGTTGTCTTGTTTTTTTTTTAAGCTGGACCTGTGATCTGCAGAATGCTAACATACCCTCCAACTCGAAGAGCCTTAATTGTGGGTTGTGGTCTGCAGATGTTTCAACAACTGTCAGGGATTAACACCGTCATGTATGTATTTCCCAATTGCTTCTTTTTATAAAGAGTTAGAAAAAAAATCAATTAGACCATTAGCAGTTATAGATGGTCTTCTGGACAAAGTCTGAAAGGTGAAAAATTGAGTGTGAGCTGGAATGCTGGTTTGAAATCCGGATGTTGGCATACTTGGCAACACAGTAAATTGGTACAAGAGGATGTTGGTATAGGGGTAAACTTACCATTTTTATAGACATGAGAATACAAACTGTATTCTGACAGATGCATTTTTGTGTTAGGATTTATGGTCAAGGCTATGTATGTCTGGACAAGAAAGCACATTTATGGTTTGAATGTGTGTGCAAATAGATCACAGTAAGGTGAGAGTTAGATTAACCATGTTAATGAGGTGGAACATTACTGTGAAGTGCTAAAGGATGCTGAGGGAAGAAACATTTCCTGCTTTTACATGGTTTTGTTATGTGTATGAAGTCTCAGTAAATGTGGAAGTGAAGAATGATGTATTGGGTTTTCTGACAAGCTGTCAGCTCATAACAGGAGAAGCTCTTGACAAATGTGCAATGTACAAGACCTTGTTTAAGATGAAATTATTGTTGGGCTGCCCTACATGACTAATCATAATGAATATGGTTGCCATATTGTTTTAAGAGCAAGTACAAAATACGTTGCCATAACATTTTAAAGAGAAAACTATGCCTAAGGGAGCATGCATGTTAGGAAATTGTTAAAAGAAACAGCTTAAAGGATAAGGCTTTTAGTGGTATCAAGAGTTACCATATTAAATGTTAGAGTAAACACTGCCATCTGTCATACTGGAAGAAAAAATGCCCCAGACTCAGTATTATTAAACTGCACAGGAGGGAAATCTGTAACAGGTAAAGAAAGACTTCATAAAGTAGGAATTGTAAGCCAGTGTGGGAAACACTTGGACACAAAACTGGTAAGTTGTGTGAAAGCCAGAAGAAAGGCACAGAAAGAACTTTGATAAATTTTTCAGACACATCAGAAGCAAGAAACCTAAGAGTCTCCAGGCCCAGAAAGGATCAAGATATTGGGAGTACACTAACAGAAGTGTTGAGCACCAAATCTCACAAAGACGCTTTTTGCATTTGTGTTAATTATAGAGGGTACATGAAGCTTTTTGCACTAGTGCCTACTTAAGATGTCTCAGGTGGTCTGCTTGACACTCAAGTATTAGAGGAAAACATCTAGAGCAAGCTGATAAAAAATAACAAATTAATCAGGGTACACTCAACAGGTCTCAAGTAATTTGCATCCATAATCACTGAATTTGGAAATGTAGCATAATTTATGAGAAGCTACAGCCCAAAAAGTTTTATTTTGGTCTCTATAAAAATTTAATTAAAACTTTATAGAATCAAATAAAATGTGTGCTAATAAATATGAAAAATGAACTTGTGCACATACAACATAAAACTGCAAAGAAGAGTCAACATGATTGTTGTAGAAAGATTATAGCTGGCTTGGATGTGAGTCCATGGTTGTGTTAGAACTCTAAATCTCACATGAATTAACAGTCTTAAACAACCATGACAGCTGCAGCCAAAGTTTCTTGAAGAAATCATATAGCCATGAAAGTGAGAAGTCCTGTCACGTAAATAACTATTTAAGATAGGAGAAAAAAGGACGAGAATAGAAGCTCAGTTATCACAAACCAGGAATAGACTCCTACAATGATCTATATGAAGATCTTTGCTGCTTTAATAAATCTGTGAAAGCAGCTGAACAACAAAGTAGCAGCTTATATTCATACAGCATTCACAATATAGAGATCCCCCAAATCTGTAAGCATGAACAGTTGTGGGAAGATAATGCAAGGTAACAAATTAGTGGAATGGCAAATGCATTAACTATACAATGTTATTCAATAATGCCTGAAGGAGGGAACTGGGTAACTAACATGCATGGCAGTCTAAATTGTTACTACTCAAAAAAGAGGGCTTACAATTGCATTGCTGTTCTATACAAACATCATGATGACATCCATGGCCCATCTGGAATATTACAAACAGTTGCAGATGTCCTGTCTTTTAATAAGAGCAAACCAGGTTATGTGTGGGGAAAGAGATACCTGTGTTTGAACAGGATTATTAGAACTCTGCAGCTTGGAAAAGAAATGAGGTCAGAAGAAATACAAGAGGTATATAAAGCTACTAATGTTATGGAGAGGATGGGGAGAGCATGATTATTCATCATTTCTTCTAACACATTTTTGGTGACTCCTAGCTCTTAGCCAGCAGTAGATTTAAAATAAGCAATTTTTCATGCAACACATAATTACATATTGGAACTCATTGCCACAGGATGTTACAGATGCCAAATGTAGAAATACATTTAGAAGTTAATTAGGGAAACTTACATAATAAACATTATTAAAATGTTATGAAATGTGGTATGCATGCAATCTCTGGCCAAGGACAGTCATTCTCACAGTTTGGTTCATAATACTTTGGGATACCCTATTAGGCTAGAACAAAAAATTGACAGTTCACTAGGCTTATGACACTGGTAGGTTGACTTTGTTTATTTTAAACTTACTATGTTTTAAAATCTCAAACTGCTTTCTGTGTAGGAGGTTTTACAAATAGTTTGGAATTGACCTAATTTACTTGTGGATGTGTAGGAGGACAGAATTACAGCTATAAAACGTGGTTGAATCTTAGCTTTAAAATAATAAAATGCCTATAATAAACACATGAAGGCACTGTTGTTAAAGGACTGGATTGTCAGCCATTTGCAATATCCAGTCTCTTTTAATATTCCATTATAACTAAATTTTTAGTTATCAGGTATGCAAGACAAACATTCTCCTGTGAAAGGACATTTTTCAAATACAAGTAAGCAGCTGTCTCTTGATGGCTTGCTTACATAAAAATTGGTAAATGCCTTTTAATGCTGTAATTAGATGGTACCTTAAGGAACTGTCAGATTGTATTAACTCTCTAAGCACTAGTTTTCTCTTCATAATGTTTAGTTGTGTCATTCTGGGATTGCTGTTCTCCTGCAGGATGAAAGCAGGCATTGGTTATGGTTGGAGGGTCTAGTATTGTGTGGATTTTCCTTCAGTGGTTTCTCAAAAGCAGACATGACAGGTATTTTGACAGTGGATGTTCACTGTACCTTTGGTGCTACTGTAAATCCTTGTTTGTTGGTTTGTTGGCCCTTTTTAGGCCATAGAAGAAGAGGCTGATGACCCCAACTTGCAGTTGCCTTATCACTGAAGGGGTATCAGGGACAGACAAAGGTGATACAGAGACTCCATCATCAGAAGACATGAAAAAACACTTTGTTTCTATAAGATCTGTAGATTTCTAATAATGGTGGACTTAAGACCTGTTTGGCTTTTAGGACTCTTCTCTCAGACTATTGGTGAACTATGAATAGCACACTCTGGAGAATCATATCTATAAACAAAGTTACAGAAAGAGAGATAATAATTGTTTGAATTCTTCTCTCTTAGTTTCCTACAGCTCCTCACAGCTTCCCAGGATTTTCCTGGGACAGCTATGTCTCTCTCTGTTCAGAAGATATGTGAATACCACATTGCCTGGCTTTCTGTGGCAGAGAACTTGGCCTCTGGTTGCCCTCTGACCAGTTAACTTAACAGGGCAGCATCCATGACAGACCCTGACTTGTTCTAATCTTCTGGCTTGAGAGTTTCTGCTCTTTCTGCTATAAAATAATTTGTTTCATCTTGTATTTTACTGTAAGAAAAGTGAGGCCATCAGAGTGAATTTGTGTGTGTCTGAAAAGCTCATTTAAACTCCCATAATCAAATCTCAAAGGGACATGAAAAAATAACACAATTTTGGAATTATTTGATACTTGCCCAATATATGCTTTACTGAGTAATTCATCAATTTTAGAAAAGAAAAGCTTGAATCGAAAATTACAGGTGTTAGAGGAAGTTTGCAGAGGTCTAGAAGTAGTCATTGAGTGTACCCATAGAAGGAGAGATGCTAAAAAGCAAAAATTACCTACAAGAAACACAGGGAGATAGCAATAAAAATCTAGAGCTTCCATGCTTAATAATTCAGTAATCTGGTATAAATTCTCTTGTTAAAAACTGAGTATCAGTAGTGGAGCTAGTGAGAGCAATGAAGTCCATGTGTAATTGGAGTTGTCTTGAGGATGGGGAGAGGAAAACCAGAAGAATTGCTGTAAGAATTGTTGAAGGCTGTGCTCAGCCTTTTTTATTGTGTAATAAACTGATCTAGTTTTTGCACAGAAATAGTTTCATATCATATTTCCATCACATTTGTTATACACATGAATGTTTATAAAATCCAGCCAAGAGGAACCAGAAACTCATCAGGAACAGGATGTTACAGAATTGGTGAGAACAGTATGTGGAGCAACCTCTGCATTGAGGAGGTAGATCTAAAAGAGAAGCAAAATGTAAAAATAGGCTAAGGAGGTTGTGACTGTCACAGGAAAAAATCTAGCATGATAAATTTAGTCAGCAAAAGACGAAAGCTCAGTGACCTATTGCTTTGATTCCTTTTTTTCATACCCCTAAGAACAAGGGTATCATTGCTGTCTGATGCAGTGCCTGACGCAGAACAAATGTTTCCTTTTTGTCATGGCTTTCACCAGCTTAACTGACCCGTTAAAGTCATACCATTTTAGACTAGCATCTCTCACACTGGTGTGAGCAGGTCTGAAATGGTTTAACTTCTCAGTTTCTTATCATTCTAGTGTTTTCTCATCTTGAAAACAGAAGCTCATTGTTTCAAGCCTGGAGCCCAAGTCTGGTTGGCAGGAGACTGAGAAAGGCCTTGTGAAGGAACTTATATTCCAGTGGAGTAGTTATTACAAACCAATTTTTTAATAGTAATATATCTCAGAATTTGGTTAAATCTGTGAAGTTAAGGCATTTTCAAGCCCAAAGTTGCCCATAGTTAAAACCTAGGGGAAGAGGACCATTTTGAGGTAAAAAAAAGAAAAAATTCAAAAATTGAAGAAGTTCCATTTTTGGAGGGTAGGAGGAAGAG